TGAGTAGCAAAAACAGAGGTGACGAGATCTGCCATTTTCTGAGGATTGTCCCTACATAAGGGGTTGGAATTCTCCCAACCCAGTAAGTATGAAGTAGAGAATAGAGTATGGGCCCAGTAGCAGCCAACCTACAGGCAGGCCTTCTTGATTTACTCTGCCTATAAGACTTTGCCTTAAAGGGCATTGGCTTGCTCCAAACTGGGAGGTCCTTTGGCCACATTGGATGCCCTAATGGGTCTTTGTGGGGGAGACCTATTTCTCATCATACAGGGGTGGAGCCATTGGCTTTATGGTCTCTACTTCAGGGACAGTTTGTGAGAGGGAAGGTGTCACTGAAGCCCCTAACACTTCCCTGCCTCTGTCCCCTGGGTTCAGAGCATTAATGAGATTTATCTCATTACTTTCCCTTTCTTCCTGTGTCTTACTATCAGGAAGAGGTTTTGAGACCACTTCCCTTCTCTGTATCATCAAATAGTTCTCTGTCCCTGACAAAACCCTATTATACAATGATGTGAATGCACTGACATAATGGATCTCCTCGCATTTGCTCAACCATTGGCAATACTGTTCCAACTGCTTAATGATACAATAACTCAGGGAACCATCCACAGTCCACCTTTCCTCACAATCTAAAACATAGATAGGCCAAACAGTGTCACAGTAGTAAATCAATACCTCCTCAGACATAGGATACAGCAGTACACATTCCAGTCCTCCAAAATTCTACTCAGTGTGCTCCCCCTAGTGGTTAACCCAGAACTGCCCTTATTGTACCAGTAGTACATGCAATGGCTGCAAGTAGAAAAGTACAGTCAATCTGGAAGCAGCATATAAACAAAACTATTGTCCACAATTCCATTTTCCAAAGTGTTCACAAATTTTCAGCCAAACAATCTCACTTCCCTGATCGCTTCCCAAACTCATTTCCTTTTACCTTCCAGGTGGGTTTGGGGGACCAATGCCCTCAAGAGGTGTGCAGAGAAATTCTCAGAGATTAGGAAATTCCACAGTCCCATATGCCCACTCCTGAGGGGGTTGACATGCCACAGGTAATTATTAAGGCCCCACATTGCGCACCAAGGCTGTTGTTACAGAGCCACAGCCTATACTGTTCTGGAACAGCTGCGGGGTCCAATTGCCTGGGGCCAAGAAGCATGACTCCCAATGTAAGAGTTTGGTGAAAAGGAAAGGGATTGTTTATTTAAAAGTTATACAGACTTAGAATACTGGTGGCATCCTGCCGTTTAGTCCCACTCCCTTCCAAAACACACAATCCTGCTTTCCTTTGCCAAACCAGGTCAGCTGAGAAAACACCAGTCAGAAGAACCGTGTTTCAGAAAAACAGGAGTCCATGACTCAGCATTCCCAGTCACAGTTTAGCATCCCGGGCATCCCCCATTAATCCATGCTTGGTTGGGCAGGTGCCCACAATTTCTAGTTCCATCAGCTGTGCTGCCTTGTTCTCCCAGGCAGGTTTCCCAGTGGGTCTCCTCTTTCTTCCTCTAGCTCTTAATCCAAAACTGTGTAGCACCTCTTTACACAGCAGACCTCAGGTCCCCTGGGGTGGGGACCCTGCTACACCCTTTCAAACCACATGGCCACCCCATCATGGCTGGCCACCCTAATTTTAAATGCTGACCCAGGGCTTCCTATGTGACCTCATATTTAGTACTCTACGTCCTGAAGGTCACTCAGACCTTTTCCTGGGTGGCAGCACTGCTTCCCTTAAAGAAGGACAAGGCTTTTGCCTTGCCATCATTGTGAAAAGTATCAAGCCATATCATCCACTTCTCTCCTTCCCTCAACCATGGGCTGTGAGGGATGATGTTCTGTATCAGGGTCCTTTTGCTTTGCACTCCATTTCACACTGAGGGTGACCTTAGAGAGAGGATTATTTTATTATACCAGTAAGAAGGAGGTCAGTATGCACATGCCACAAACAACCTTGCCCATCCCCTTCCCCTGGCCACCCTTGCAAGTGTGACAGCAGCTTGCTGGATCCAGCACTGCCTCCAGTGCTGGAGGTGCTTTTCTCCATTTGGCTCCCAGTTCAGGACTATCTGTGACTTGGCTCACCTCCCACACAGCACAGTTACTAAGAAGACCAATGGATGTCATCTGAGACGGCCGTGAAGCTGTATATTCTTCTTGCATCTGGAAAAGAGTGGAGAAGCCACCCTCAGGCAGAAATTGGAAGGAAACATGGGAACCTGTGAATTTAGAAGACAAAGGAGAGTCATATGTTTAGCACTTTGTCTGTGGCAGTATCTAGCCTTGCCCCTATATAATTACAGTCCAATTGTCAACATTGCCATTTACATTTGAATGAAATCCACAGTGCAATCTTCTGTCTTTAAAAGGAATTAAAAAAATAGAATGGCAGGTTGGTTCTGGATTTTTTACATCACCTTGGATGACCAGAAGCCTAATATAAGGAGAGTTCTGAACAGAGTAGCACTTTCACAGGTTGCCTTATTAAGGAATGGAATGAAAGAAAATTTAGCACTTAAGATGTGCATTCGAATGCAGATATGATTCCAGTCTGGATAAAGTGCTGCTGACAAGCGACGCCATTAACCGAACACCTAAATGGAACTGTTGGACGAGGGGGGCCAGTGTTCCAACCCTGGTGCCAGGGCCACCGAAACTAAACTCTTAACAACTGGGTCCCCTGGAACTGAGAGATCCAGACACTGCAAGAATTCTAGTTCTCAATATATGAATCAGTCAAAACATCTGATTTTTTCAAAAAGTCTACTTGGTGTCAACATAAGAAATGTCCAAGACTGTACAGAATTTTTTTTTAAACCTCACCTGTTTTCATTGCTCTTAGAGAGGAAGGGAGAGAGGAAGAGAGAGAAACCTCATTCTGGAGAGAAGCATTGATTGGTTGCCTCCTGTACTCACCCAGACTTGGGACCGAAATTGCAACCTAGGTACATGCCCTGACTAGGAATCAAACACGCAACCTTTTGGTTATGGGACGACTCTCAACCAACTGAACCACACAGGCCAGGGAAAAGCCTGAAGTTTTATGAGTTTATCTGAGGCAATATGATGATAATTTCCAGGAAGCAAAATCTCAATGGATTGAGAAAATGCTCCAGGGAATGGCAGTTTTGCAGCTTATTTTATATGTTAGACTCAAAGGAGGAAGTGTAAAGAGGGTTACATGAAATCCATTGATGGCAGATTTAGGGGGCAGAAGAAACAAAATTGGGGGAAATCTCTGGAATTGCATAAAAAAATTAAACAAAGAGACACACACTTCTTTCACGTTGGTCAGTAGCAGATAGCTAATTGACCCTTATCAGATGGTGTGCATGGAACAGGATAACAGTAAGGGGTGCTATAGGCCGGTGTGCCTGTGGGCCAGCTGTGTCCTGAGGGGACTGGAAAAGGCAATCACTCTGACTCGTCATAGTTGTGTTGTCTTAGATGCAAAAGGATAACAGACAGGCTCACTCAAGGCAGAGATAAGCCTTTGTTAAGCAAGCATTGGGCCTCAGATGTGACTACACACCATGACCTGCCTGTAGCTAAGAATTCTTATGTTCAGAGGATCCTATGGGGTTGCTTTTGGCCTCGGAATTTGTAGGGCCCCCCACCATGCTGACCTGCCCTGAGCTTGTCAGGTTTAGTATGTGGCCCCTTTTTCATCCATATTGGGAAGTGTTTAAACCTGGGCTGCACTAGACAAGAATAATGAATCAACAAAGTTACTAATATTGTAGGCTTTTCTTTGTCCTCTTCCATTCTCTATTCCATGACCAATCAGGTGCCGGCAACTCTCTCCACCTCTCAGTAACAATGACTTGCCCACAAAAGGACCCAATATTTATCCTTTATACCTTTCTTCATATGGATTTAAATCAATCTATTATTTCTCTAAGAGGTTTTCTCTTTAAGCTTTACTTTAACTTGTAGGATGTTAAAGGGGGAAAAGTATGTCTGGCACATTTTTTTTGTGCCCTAAATCTTTACCTTAAAAAAATTCACTTTTGTGTTGTTCTTTTGAAGTCCCCAATTATTTTATAGGGTGACAGCATTGTCCGGACTCAGGCGAGACAGACATGTTCATTTATCCACTCACCCCAACGAAACCATAAAACACTGTATTTTTAAAAGAAGGAACACAGAAGAAGCCTGGGAAATCTGAGATGTATAACAATAAATTAGTATGTAAGAAAAGTGAAACTAAACAGTCAGACAGTGGAGTTTGTACCTCTCCATCAGCCTTTGTGCCTAAGGAGATGGTAGTTGGGGAGGTGGTGACTTTTACCGCCGTGTCTTCCCCCTCATCACCATGGCCTCAGGACTTCCTACCACCATCCCAGGATATGCCAGGTCAATTGTGACACAGTCAGAAACAGACCAACTCTTGGAAGGGAGGGTCCATCTTTTCCTATTCTCAGTGATTTCAGCTCCAGTAACCACATCAGGAAGATCTTGCCATACCTTAAAACACTCGTAAATTAAGACTCTTAATTAAGTCCAAAACCTTGTTTCATTAAACTGGTTTGATCTTCTTGCTCACCAATGGTTTTTTTAAAAAGTGGTCAAAAGAATCATCAGAGACTCATTTCCAGTAACGACTCTCTTAGGACTGAAGGAGTACTAAATCAGTAAAGGGATATTAATAGGGAGAAAGAAAAAACAACAACCTAGAGATCATGAAGAGTAATCACAATTTAACCCTGCTGCCAGGCAGTTTACAAAATGCTTCCATGCTCTAGTATTTCACCTGCTGAATTTGGTTAAGAGATTGTACTCACAGTTACAGGAATGTAAAATTTACAATTTTTAAGTCCCTTCTGAATGTTACTGAATCTAATTTACTAAAGATACTGTTTTTGGAAACATATAACCCACAACTTCTTGGCTTCCTTCATTCAGAAGGAAGATTTAGTCACCACCCCATGTCACAATAAGAGTGACTCAGAGTGAGGAGGGAACCTGAGGCTTCCTTATATGTACAGGCACTCAGAGCTTGCCAGGAGCCCAGGCACCTGCATCTCAAGAGGATCAGCAAGGTCAGAGAGAGACACAGTGCCTCCTCCCCAGCACAGAGGACAGTTCACAGTCAGCCCAGCAAGTCCAGAGCAGCGTCTAGGTCCCAATTCATCTGTAAAAAGATAACAGGTAATTGAGTTTGTCATTTATTTCTTTTTTTCTGATTCTCTTTTAATATATTTTATTGATTATGCTATTACAGTTGCCCCATTTTCACCCTTTCATTCCCATCCACCCTATTCACCCTCTCCCACCCACATTCCCCCCCTTTAGTTCATGTCCATGGGTCATACTTATAAGTTCTTTAGCTTCTACATTTCCCATACTATTCTTACCCTATTTTCTACCTACCATCTATGCTACTTATTCTTTGTACCTTTTCCACCTCTCTCCCCCTCCCACTCCCCTGTTGATAACCCTCCATGTGATCTCCATTTCTGTGGTTCTGTTCCAGTTCTAGTTGTTTACTTAGTTTGCTTTTGTTTTTGTTTTAGGTATGGTCATCAATGATTGCGAGTTTTCTGTCATTTTACTGTTCATATTTTTTATCTTCTTCTTCTTAGATAAATCCCTTTAACATTTCATATAATAAGGGCTTGATAATGATGAACTCCTTTAACTTGACCTTATCTGAGAAGCACTTTATCTGCCCTTCCATTCTAAATGAAAGCTTTGATGGATAGAGCAATCTTGGATATAGTTCCTTGCCTTTCATGACTTGGAATAGTTCTTTCCAAACCCTTCTTGCCTGTAAGGTCTCTTTTGAGAAATCATCTGACAGTCTGATGGGAACTCCTTTGTAGGTAACTGTATCCTTTTCTCTTGCTGCTTCTAGGATTCTCTCCTTAATTTTAACATTGGGTAATGTAATTATGATGTGCCTTGGTGTGTTTCTCCTTGGGTCCAACTTGTTTGGGACTCTCTGAGCTTCCTGGACTTCCTGGAGGTCTATGTCCTTTGCCAGATTGGGGAGGTTCTCCTTTATTATTTGTTCAAATAAGTTTTCCACTTATTGTTCTTCCTCTTCTCTTTCTGGTACCCCTATAATTCAACTATTGAAACGTTTAAAGATGTCCTGGAAGTTCCTAAGCCTCCCCTTTTTTTGAATTCTCGTTTCTTCATTCTTTTCTGATTGGATGTTTCTTTCTTCCTTCTGTTCCACTCCATTGATTTGAATCTCAGTTTCCTTCCCATCACTATTGGCTCTCTGTGAATTTTCCTTTATTTCATTTAGCGTAGCCTTTATTTTTTCATCTAATTTGCAACCAAATTCAACCAATTCTGTGAGCATCCTGATTACCAGTGTTTTAAACTATGCATCCAATAGGTTGGCTATCTCTTCGTTGTTTAGTTGTATTTTTTCTGGAGCTTTGGTCTGTTCTTTCATTTAGGCCTTTTTTTTTTTTGTCTTGTTGAGCCTGTTATGTATGAAGGGCAGACCCTTAGGTGTTCAGCAGGGGCAACCCAGTTGCTGGGGTTGTAACTCTATATGCGGTGCAGGGGTTTGAGAGGGAACAGTACCGCTTGCTTCACTGTCTGCCAGATTTCAGTCACTTCCCCCACTTCCCCCAAGCAAATTGGGCTCTTCTGGTGCTGATTCCTGTGTGGGTGGGTTTGTGCACATTCTAGGATCCTGTGGGTCTCTCCAACAAACTCTCCCATGAGGCTGGGAATTTCTCCTGGCACCTCAGCCCCCACAGGTGTTTTCAATAGGTGTTTTGAGGCTTTATTTCTCTGAGCTGGGATCCTGGGTTGCGTGGTCTGTCTCACTCCCCAGTTTCGCCTGGTTTATCTGCGCGCAAATGTGGGACCTGATGCTCCGTGCCCCTCCACAATCTGCCACCTTGCTGGGTCTGCCTGCTGCTGCTTTGTGAGCCCAGGGCCAACCAGCTGCCCTGCCTCAAACTCTCTCTACCCAGCTACCCAACTCCGCCCCTCCTACCAGTCTAGATGAATGTGTCTACTTTAACTCCTTGGTTGTCAGACTTCCATACAGTTCAATTTTCTGTCATTACTGGTTGTTTTTATGTTTTTAAATTGTTGTTGTCCTTATTTTTGTTGTGCAAGGAGGCACAGTGTGTCCACCTACACCTCCATCTTCGCTGGAAGTGTCGTTTATTTCTTCATTGCTCTTGTCAGTCTTGTCTTTGAATTTCTTCACTCTTGCAGAATTAATCAAGTAGTCTTTCATGCTGTGGTCCACTGTGGCTACTAAAAAAATTGGATGTTAGAAGGTTGTGATGGGCAGAGTCCATCTCCCAATAGAAGTGCTCTCAGAGTAACTGGGGACTTTGCCTTGAGCTGCCCAGGTATTTTTTTTAAATATTCTTTAGTATCCTAGGGTTACAATTGGATTTATGTCTAGTTATTCCCTCTGTGACTATTCAACACCATCTGTGAATCTTATAATTATTGGTCATTGGCAACTGGAGTGAGAGAAGCTCCAAAAAGAGTAGGACTCTCTGCTGGGTTTCTTACTGGAACATCACATTCGCTTCTAACTGCACGGCTGATCTGTGTCCCCCTGCTTTACCAATATTATCAGATGTCGCCTTAGACAGATGCACCCCTGCACACTAAACTGGGTGGGAAGGCCTGCTGGGTCAGAAGCACACAAGGACCTTCCTCACAGTGCACATTTGATTCCTGGACTACCAGGATGACAGCAATAAACCTGCTTCAGATTTTACTCTCCATTCTGCGATCCAGTGGTTGGCATTTTACCTGCAGTACACTGGCTTGAGGTCCCACTCAAAGTCTGTTTTCACTTGGACTTCTTGTAAGGGAGAAAGCCAGTTTGCTGGTTTTGTTGCCACATAATCCTGGCAGCCCTTGTTTCAGACTTTATGATTCAGATGGTGTTGTGATCCCTTCTCTCAATGAGCTGACCTTTAGCAGTTGGGGGAAAAGTTTAAATGAAATGTAATTTTAAATTGAAAATCAATTTAGGTTGTAGAAATAGTTGTGAAATGCCCTGCTACACTATTCACTCAAGGGTAAGGATTGTCCTTTATTTATCTTAGTACCCTTTGGCACATCTTAGGTGCTTGAAAAATACCCTTGGCTCGATAAGGCATAAAATGATTGAAATGTTGTGTCATCTTTGCACTGTATTTTTGAGATTTGAAAACTGTGTCTAGTGATTAGAACAGCCCTCAATGTTTAAATAGAAAAATCATAGCATACATTTCAAATGGGAATTGCTCTTAAAACTCTCATAACAAATTTCACTGTCTTAAGGCACCATCTTTAAAAGCTCAGATCTTTTCTTCTGCTCAAAGATAGCTATAATTTTTAAAAAGATGCTGAATATTTGAATACACTTTCTGCATCTATATATAGCATTCTCTCTATATTCTAAGCTTTCTTCGAAGCCTTGTAACTATAAGCTATAATAAAATACAACATATAATCTCTTCCAGTTAGCAATTTTTATTTAGTGACCATAAATAAAGTAAATGTGGCTTTGACAATAGTTCTTAACCTGCCAATACTGTCAGGAGGCATATGAGCAAAGTAATAAACCCAGGAGGGACTGGGACTAGTTAAATAATAATTATGGATGTCATGGTGAATTATAATTTAAAAGTTTTCAGAAGAGGCAAAAGAAAATCAGAGACACTTTTATCTTAGGACAAAAATGCCAACCATAACTCTACCAGGTCTCCCCTACACTAAGAGCGGTGGCACACCTCTGCAATGGATCTGCAGAGGAAGCGCGCACTTCTCCACACCTCACTTCTGCACACCTCACTGTCCACCTGCACAGAGGGCACTCTGGGCACCTCGAGCCTCCTCTCTCCTGCAGGAAGCAGGGTTCAAGGGAAATGCTCTTGGTGAAGGAGCTTCTGCATCCCATTCAGTGAGGGAGCTTAATGTTCCATGATGATGAGCAGCATTTCAACTCTACCATAAGCAGCATCCTAATCACTATTACTGTTATTTTGATCAGACCCTCAAAGTAGTGTTTGTTGCTTAATGTAAGCTTATTCCATGCAGAATCCCTTTGGCTCTATCTTAAAATTTCTTTAGATTTCTGGGTGCCTAACTTAAACATTTTTTTACAAAAGTATAACTCATTAGTCATTATTTAGTTTGTGTCATTAGGCCCAAATATTTGTTTTTATTAAATTAAAGTACAGCAGAAATCTATGAAAGGTTACTTGCATTGGGAAAAAAAAAACAGAGTTTCTTACCTCAATGAAAAGATCAACATAAAAATGAATTCAGTGTAAGTTAACCAGGTTTCCAATACTGAGATGTTCAAGCAACTTACATGTCTAGAATGCTGTCAGTACTAAGAGAGCTTGTGCAAGAAAAGCTCAAAGAAAGAATAGTTTAGAAAGCTGTTGCTAAATGTACTCTACTTAATGTAGATAAATAACTTAGTGGTTAGTTCACCTTAGGCCACAATTACTACGAATTAAAAGTAGAAAAAGATTCTACAAATTCCTACCAGTGTTGACTAATTTTAGTATTGCTTTCTAAAACAAAGCCCTTCGTGGAGTTATAAAGAAATAAAATCAAGTGGTATAGAAAGAACTCTATGTTTGCTTTAAAAAAGTATACTTCATCATGACATTGAGATGTTAGTTTTTTATGTTCCTTCCTTTTTTGTGAGACATTATAGTCTTTTTTTAAAACTGTGTCATTTATTTTTATAGGGCAGAGGAAGATGACTAAAAGAAGTGAAATCAAAGTATCTTATTTTAGATTTTTTACTAGGGAAAGCAAACCACAAAGAGAAAGTTAAAAGCAGCAGAAGTTAGTAAGGACAGCAATGTAGTTGCGATATTTTCCTGTAGCTGAAGTCATGTGGTTACTCTTAGGGGCAGAGAAAATACAAAATTACTTCTCCTTTCCTTGTTTCTTTTGAATCTTTGTGGCATGGCAGAGAATTTTGATAGAGTATTTTCATTCCTCTTATTAACTGATGTGTCCAGCTCTTTGCAGTTTCCCCTCCTCATTTTACAGTTTGAGAGTTCAGAGACCAAAGTTGTAGTTCTAGCCATTCTCTGACAATGACCTTATGTGTGATACCTAACCTACTTTGCTCACAGAAGTAGTTTAATCCTTAAATGAGATCAATATTACTTAAACACTTTTCAAAAATTTTTGAAATTGTGTAATTGGAAGTGTGATGATGATGATGATTTTGCCCTGGTATTCGAGAGGGCCCAAAGACTAATTCAATTATCACCCAAAATCTGGGGCTGGAGTGGAAACTTCTCTCTCCTGGGGCAGAGGACTAAAGCAGCATGGTGGAATAGGGTGGCCAAGGCATCATTTCCAGAAGCAGCACTAACTCTATCTTGAGCCACTTACCCTGCATTTCTGAATTTGTTTCCTCATCTGTGAAATGGAGATAATTATATCATAAGATTTAAAAGAGATAAATATTTACAGATCTGAACAGAGGGCTTAGGACATAGTGAGCACTCAATAAATCATAGCCATTACTGTCATTCCTATCTGACTTGGTCACCTGGAAATCCCAAGGACTGTGGGTTTTCTAGGTCCTATTCTGAATTTTGTAGAGTCAATAGGCTACCTACCTGCAGGGTACCCCAGAGGAGTCCACAATGGCCCAAACGCAAAAGACACAGCCAGAATTCAAGCCTCTTACAGCAGCATGATATGAGTAATATTTATAAGTAACAAAATTTTTCTGGTAAGGCCATAAAAAAATAAACTCTCATCAGTATGTCATTTCCAAGGAATTGATGACTGAATATCCAGAAAAGTAGTTCTGGGTGCTGTGACATCCTAGACCCCTAAAAACGAGGAAGTCCTAGACCAGTGGTTCTCAACTGGGGGTGATTTTGGCCCCAAGGGCCACTTGGCAGTGTCTGGAGACATTTTTGGTTGTCACAGCTAGGGAGAGAGTGATACTGGCATCTCATGAGTAGGGGCCAAGGGTGCTGCTAAGCACCCTGCCATACACAGGACAGATAATTTCCTGGCCACAGTGTCGAAAGTGCTGAGATCGAGAAACTGATGCTTAGAGACTGGCAGTGCATCCAGCCCACAGCCCCTCACAAGGTGGAAACCACCGATGCTGCCATCGTGATGCAGCTCTTCCTGTGTAGAGGGCATTTAGCCTCTTTATCAGGTGCTCTCCAACGTAGTTATTTTCTCTTTTACAGATAGGAAACTAGAGGCTAAGAAATAATATGTAATTTGCCCAGTGATGTTCTGATGATAGAGGAACTGGGGCTGGGTCTCTGCTGCCTGATTCTGAGGCGTGAGCTCCTAACCCTGCTCTACACTGTGTGTGTGCATGCGTGTGTGTGTGTGTGTGTGTGTGTGTGGTCTCAGCCCTTGTGCCAAGATTTTTACTAGCAAATTGGCTAGTGTTTATTCTGGCTTAAGAAAAATTTCTATGGCCAGTTCATCAGAGGCTGTACATTGAGTACTGAACCCGTCCTCCCACACAGCGGCCTTGGGGCTGCAGATCTGCTCGCCTGTACTTTGTTCTCAGCCCAAGCAACTGAGATTAGTGCCCCGAGTCTCTGAATTGCTGGGATTAGGGAGCCATGTGGAAGTGACCATAGGAACAGAGTATGCCCGAGGCAGCCCCCTTAGTTGCTGTTACTCATTTACTTGTCACCGATCAATGAACCAATGGGCTATCATTCGGCTTCTGTGTACATAAGTCGTGTTCCCAATAACTCTGATGAGGGCTCTGATCATAGCTAAAATACTATTAGAGGTCAAAGGTATGTGTTGGTTTGTGGCTGACTTGGTCCAATGACCTAGAGGAAAGTGAACCTTAGGGACTGAGGAAGAACCAGAATTTTCAAACAATATCTGAGGTAAGAATGGGTTTTGCAAAACTGTAGGTCAAGAGTGGCAGTCCCTTGGCTTCAGGCTTCAGGCTGGAACACCTGCATCTGAAATGACTCTTAGTTCAGAGGTAAAACTCATGAAGACAGCACAATTTAATGAGTCCATCCCTAACAACTAAACAGCTCCTCTCTGTTAGCTTGTGAGCAGTTAAAAAATGGGTTTTGCTAGAGGAGTAGATTGACAGGGAGAGGGAAGGGAAGGGAAGGGAAGGGAAGGGAAGGGAAGGGAAGGGAAGGGAAGGGAAGGGAAGGGAAGGGAAGGGAAGGGAAGGGAAGGGAAGGGAAGGGAAGGGAAGGGAAGGGAAGGGAAGGGAAGGGAAGGGAAGGGAAGGGAAGGGAAGGGAAGGGAAGGGAAGGGAAGGGAAGGGAAGGGAAGGGAAGGGAAGGGAAGGGAAGGGAAGGGAGCGTCTGACCGCTTTGGTTTGAGCTTGTGTTTTTGTTCAGTCGTTGTGGAGATGAACTTACCAAAAAGTAGAATGCAGAAAACTTGGTGCCCAAAGTCACTAGATTCTTATGTATTTTGTGCATGGGACTCAAAGCAATCCAATGAAGCTTTTCTTAGGAAAAAATTTTTATTTTCACATGCCAAATTTTCAACACTTTGCTTTGAAATCATTTAGAACTTATGGAAAAGTTCAAAGAGTAATACAACCTAGATTTCCTAAATATTACCGTTTAACCATATTTCTATTTTTCACTATCTTTCATATATATGTGTGTGTGTTAATATGTTTATTTATTTATATACATATTCATAATATTTTCTGAATAAATTGAGTGTAAGTTAAAGACACAGTGCTACTTAATTTTTGAATATTTCAGTGTGTATTTCTTAAAAAGCAGGACATTTCAACATAATCAGAATAAATTATCAAACTTGAAAAACTAATATTAGCCCTGGCTGGCATAGCTCAGTAGATTGAGCACGGGCTGTGAACCAAAGCATCGTAGGTTCGATTCCTAGTCAGGGCACATGCCTGGGTTGCAGGCCATAGCCCCCAGAAACTGCACATTGATGTTTCTCTCTCTCTCTCTTTCTACCCCCACTTCCCTCTCTAAAAGAAATAAATAAATAAAATCTTTTTAAAAAATCTTTAAAAAACAACAAAAAAGAAAAAAACTAATATTAATGCAACATTTTTTTCAGATCTGAATCAAGTTTCACTAGTTGACCTAATAATGTTCTTTCTGGCAAACGAAAAAAATGATTTTCTGGTCCAAGATCACATATTACATTAGGTTATCACATCTCTTTAGTCTCCATTTATCTGGAATAGTCCTCAGTCCTTCTTTTCCTTCATGACTTTGACATTTTTGAAGACAATAGGCCAGGTGTTGTGTAGAATGGGAAGAAGTGGCCCATGCATGACTAGCTTCTGCTTGTGCCCAGGAGTTCTCTGCGTCTTCTCCAGTGTGGCACCTGGAAGATCCTCAGTGTTTTTTTTCCTTCGTGACCTTCAGATTCATGAAAAGTGTGCCATACCAGGAGCCACGTGACCTTGGTTTGTCCCATAACTACTGGTATTAATTTTCATTCCATATGTAGATATTTTAAAGAAATTTTATATTTATAAATTCTACTCATGCAGTGTTTTGCTCAAGTCTGGCCTTGATAAATAATGATTTTTTAAAATGTTCTTAAAATTGTGTTTTGATGTGTATATGCAATGCCAGTAACATCATCCAAACCACCTAGCAATGATTAATTAAGAGCTCTCTCAGTGAAAAACAACTTACATTATATTTAACTCCCATAAAGTCAACTCAAACTCTAACTTTTTTCTGGCTTAGCTGTCTGTCTTGCCTATCTCCCTTGTACTTTTGTCATCTGTGGTGTTTGGATGCACTTTTTCATTGCTCCAGCACTTTCAATGTATTCTTAAGTTTGATACCCTTTACTCATTGGCTCAATTGACAAAAAACAAACCCTCACTTCCAGTGACACCTCTCTCTGAAGCTCTCTAGAACATAGACTAACTATGGCATGCATCCCCTGTATAGAGTCTGTAGGCTTCATTTCGACTCAAATCCCACGGAAGTTATTTTAAAAAGGCAAATACCCACAAGCTTCAGTGTGTTCTAGAGCAGGGAATGGAAACTTTCTGTGTCGTCCTGTTTTGGCAGGGGTGAGCAGGAGGGGTGTGACAGGAAAACACTGGCTTGCCTTTGTGAAGCCTTCACAGGTAAGTTGAATCAGGTGGTTATCTGCTGGATTTCTCCACAGTGAAATTACTGTTGCTTTTTTTTTAAGTTAGTATGCCTCTTATGGGGAGATTGTTCGAGATTCTATAATTATTGTTTCTCCTCTGAGTTTCACCCACTAGTATTAGTACCCATTGATCATTCTTGACTGAAAATATTGATTCTATGTTAGATGCCAAGTGGTGGTTTTCTAATTCCTCATCATTCCTTTTACATTTATTAGTTGGAATATTAGTTTTTCTGTAAAATGAGGCAGATAATGTGCCCTGTCTAATTCACAAGGTCATTGAGAGGATCAAATGTGCCCCAAGACACATTAAATTCCTTGAGCATTTGCCTTTTTCAAGTAATGTTCATGGGATTTGAATTGCAATGAAACCTACAGAATCCACTCAGGGAATATATTCAATATGTAGTTATTCAGTAATAATTTATCAAGGCCAGGCTTAAGCAAACACTACACTAGTTGAATTTATAAATATAAAATTTCCTTAGACTGTCTACATATGTAATTTTGTAAGAGTTAGTTACATCCTCCCAAAATTATACATTTTAATGTATTTACATATTTGTGAAGGGGAAATCTTGCCGCAAGGACATTGATTTTCAACAAATCAGTCACCCATCACAGGAAAGGTCTGGGGAAACTGTACCCAGTTGTGAAGCCAGGAGAGTCTAAAAAGCTTGACTGCTTTAGAAGTAACCCTGGCCATACCACAAGAATCAACTGGTGTGCCCAAACCTACTGTGTTCTAGCATTTATCTCTGACTCATTTTTATCAATTGACAAGTCTTTTACTCTTTGTTTCTTTAGCTATAGATCTTTCATCCAGAAAAAAATGAAAGCAGAACCTAAATTTTCCTTGAGAAGTGAAGATTGACCGCACTCAATCCACTGAGCTATGCCAGCCAGGGCTCTTAAATGACCTATTCTTTATGAAGCAGTTGAAATAAAATTGTGTGTATGTGGGCACATGTGTGTATGTGTAATTCTGTCTGTGTGTGCTTATGTTCCTTATTAGGAGAAAAATATTTACATGCACAAGAAAAAAGCTAGAAAAAAATTACTAAAATACTAAGAAACAAATGTGATAATCATTATTTTCTTTTAATTCTTTTCTCTATTTGCTAAATATTTTTTACCATGAGCACAAGTCACTTTTACAATCAGGAAAAAAAAGTGATTTTTATAAATGATGTAAAAGAAAAGCCAGAAAATCATAAAAAAAAAAGTCCAAACAAAGTTTGTAAAATTTCTTGGCCTTGCAAGTATTTTTTGAACACAGGGTCTGTAAACAGCCACAATTCCAGAAGCATCCATGGGCCTATCTATCCATTGTTCTCTATCTATGAAATACTCAGGGCCTCTCTTGGTTCTAAGTGTGCATCTAGATCAAGGGTAAAGATTTGTAAACCCAGAACAATGCGAGGAAACTTTCTGAGGTGTGGGGGAAGGAAATGAGGTCTTTCCCATATGTGTTGTTCTCTGTGGTCTCTCTTCCTTCCACAGGCAGAGAAAGCCAACACAGGCCCAGCAGAGGCGGCTGCTCTGTGGGGTGGGCCCTGATAATCTCCCTCCACCCCAGTTGTCCTGCAGCTGTGACTCAGGGGGCTGGGGCTGCCTTGATGCTCAGACCTGAGGCAGCACGCAAATGCCCTACAGTTCTTACTCACTTCCTCCTGCGGATTAAAATATCTCAAGGTCATCCACCCTGGTTTATAATTAATGCTTGATGGTTCTAATTTGAATTTCTTTTCTAATTGTGCACACTCAGGACAACATCTTATTCTATTGTTCGAGGAAGAAGTGACCTTGTCATATACAAGAAAACAATGCTCCTTTGGGTGTTAGCCCTCCTGATCTTTTGTGGTTTCCTATGGAATTATAAAAGACAACTAAAGATTTCAGACATCACTGATAAGTATATTTTCATTACTGGGTGTGACAAGGGCTTTGGAAACTTGGCAGCCAGAACTTTTGATCAAAAAGGATTTCGTGTAATTGCTGCCTGTCTGACTGAATCGGGAGCAACAGCCTTAAAGGCAGAAACCTCCGAGAGGCTTCACACGGTACTTCTGGATGTCACTGACCCCGAGAATGTCAAGCGGACTGCCCAGTGGGTGAAACGCCAAGTTGGGGAAAAAGGTAAAGGACATGGGATAAGGGTAATGGAAGGGGTGTTGTGAAGGAACTAAAGCTAAGTAAAATGCATTCGGGTATTAAATAGCCTTTCAAGAAAATGCCTCTTACTAAATACCAGCTACACACTAGAGAAGACTGGAGAAATCTAAGGATAGCCCTGAGTAGTTCTTGGCTGCAAACACTTCATGTGCATGAGAGACACAGCCCAAGTCATCCTCAGTCTCAAGTCCCAGTGGGTGAGTTTAGAAAGGAGGTGGAGGTTTGACTTTTCCTGGTCTTCTCTGATGAAGTGCTACCCTGGACCCACACACAGCAAAGGAACTTGGGGCTAAAATGTACAGGAGAATATGGGAACAATCCCTAAATTGCCATCTGGATACCCAAGACCTCTTTCTCCCTACAAAATGGTTCTAGAGCTTATACATTTTCAGAGGGAAAGATAGAAAATGGCCTGAGAATTTGAGTATAGGCATCTTAGTCATGATAGGGCAGTGAGCCACTGGGCCCCATTCTGCATGAGATTCTGCTAAGATGGCAGCATTCTGGACTACAGGGCTTTTATAAACCAAGCAAATGATGGGACTTTTTACCAAAAATGAAATGTGAAGTATATTGATGTTACTCTTTGTCCATATAGAACAGTTTGTCAATATTCTTTGGCCTTGCCATCTAGCAATGTAAGAAAAATAGACTAATTTACTTTACATCTAAGATTCAAAAGCAAAAGCAAAAAGTCTCACTGAATTCAGCATTTGACATTCAGAACCAGAAAACAGAATAATTCAATTACTTCAGTTGAACCTCCCATCCTTTCTGCTATCACTTCCCAAAACTGCAGAGTATTTCAATGCACGAGTCTGACTAGGGGAGGAAATGGCACCATTGCATAAAGCTGTATTTACACAAAGGATGCTTCTACCATGGTTCCTTTCTTTGCTCTCTGTCCTAGGTCTCTGGGGTCTGATCAATAATGCTGGTGTCCTTGGCGTGCTGGCTCCCACAGACTGGCTAACAGTGGAGCACTACAGAGAACCGGTAGAAGTGAACCTGTTTGGACTCATCAATGTGACACTAAATATGCTTTCCTTGGTCAAAAAAGCTCGAGGGAGGATTATCAATGTTTCCAGCATTGGGGGTCGCCTTGCATTTGGTGGAGGAGGCTATACCCCATCCAAATATGCAGTAGAAGGCTTCAATGACTGCTTAAGGTAAAGCACACGTTGATATATTAGGGTGTAATATCTGCTAACATTTACTGAATATTTACTGTGCACCAAACACTCTATTTAGTACTTTAAATTATTCCCAATTTATAGATGATCACATCATTTTGCTCTGTGCTATCAGAGAACCCCAGAATTCAAAACAAAGAACCAGTTTAGCAAATAAACACCTTGTCTCAGTGCCCCCAAGCATGGATTTCTTTGGGTTTATAATGTTTCAGGTTTACTGGGCTTCTTGAATCTATATGTTTATGTCTTTTCCAAATTTGGGGAGTTTTCAGCCATTATTTCTTTAAATTTTATGTTTTGGTGTTTTTTTGTTTGTTTGTTTTGTTTTGCAATCCATTCTCTTCTCCTTCTGAGATTCTGTAACACGAATGTTAGAACTTTTGGGTTTGTCCCACATATCCCTAAGGTTCTTCTTACTTATCTAAGTATTTTTCTCTCCACTGTTCAGATTATATAATTTCTAGTGATCTATCTTCACATGCATTGATTTTCCTTCATTTTATTCATTATGGAGTCCAACCAATGCATATTTTATTTTGAGTATTGTATTTTTCTAGTGGTTCAGTGGTACTTCAAAATAAGGGACTTCTTCCCTACCTCACCTACTAACATCTGCATTGTAGAGTTCTTAAATAGCTGTCCCACGCATTCAGTCCAGGTTCTGTAGCTGTGTTCAATGGGAGAGGCAGGGGAAGGAGGGATGGTTAATCTATCATACTTGGAACCAGAAGATAACACTATCAGTAAAAATCCCCTAAATTGCAACAGGTTATATCAATCAAAATTCTGGTAAGAGATGGTGGCACATTAAAGTTGGGTAAATGGAGTAGAGATCACGTAAAGGACTATGGCAAGCATGGGAGTCAAGTAGGGCAATCCCAAAGGACAGTGTAATATCCAGGGACAGTGAGGGCATCTCCATCCACAGGACTGAAGGGAGAAGACTGGGCACTTTCCAGAACCTAGATACATAGAGGCTGTCACCCTCAGTTGAGGAATGAAATTCACTAGTGTCAACATTACAGGAGGAATAACTAGTCCAACCCCTCCCATCACTCCTTCTGAGTTCCCTCCAGTACTCCCAACTGACTATACCCAACAAAAGCCAAAATATAGTTAACATAGGCAGACCTCCCAGGATGGAGGTCAGGCAGAAGGGTGGAGGAAACTAGAGGACCAAATGGAAAGGGTCCAGATGAGTATGCTATGACAGGCAAGAGAAAAGATGAAATTACACATAGTCTTTTCATTAGTTCATCCATTTATTTATTCAACTAGTATTTGTTGAAGGTACATACATGTTAGAGTTCTGACTTATACCAGGGATCTAGGTTTAGCTTACTAATAAAAGGTTAGATTATTCTACTGTGATTAATAGAGACAGAGCAAATCCATTTTGCCATTTGATCATGTTGCCAGGTTTGAATATTCCAGAAAATAAACACGATAATGTCAGAATAATGCTTCTTCAATGTTAATGTGCCCATGAATCACCTTGATCTTTTCAAAACACAGACTGACTCAATGGGCCTGGGGTGGGTCCTGCACTTCTGCATGTATAACAAGCACCCAAGTGCTGCCCGTGGTTAAGGGATTATGCTTTGAGTTGCAAGATCATGGAGAACCGCCGTTAGTCTCCCAGGTTGCCCTTTGCTTCCACTGTTGCAGCAACAGCATCCTAACAAAAGTTTAGATGTAGGATTGCAGTGCAGCTGTGCCACACCTGAAATTAGCCCGTAGGGAGTGTTTACATATTTCTAAATCATGGAACTAGCATTGGAAATCGTGCTGTGATGCAGGCTGTGGTGCAGTGGCAGCTCCGAGAGGGATGCTGCAGGGCAGTAGTCCTGTTGGGAGAGGGTTTGGGCTCTTTAAAGCTGTATTTGCCCAGCAAGCATACTGGTTTCATCCTGGTTTTACTCACCTGGTAAGGTTAGTTGGGTGACTTAAAGCCATTTGTACATAGAGTATGTTATTTTCATGAGTGGGTGGGGGCGGGGAGCCTATTGCTTTCCAAATCCAAAGGAGATTAGAAGATAGGTGAGTAAAATATAATTAAGTTAAAAAATAACATTTTTTTATTTGAATGCAAGCAACATACTTTTCAAAATATTTCAGAGTCAAGCTAATTCGCACTTACGTAAAATATATTTCAAACTAAACAATAGGTAAGTTGCTAGAAAGTGGAACCTATGATAAATTAAATCACATTTTAAGGTTACTGGTAGAGTTCTTAAGAGGTCTTATGGTAGAGTCTTCTGTAAAATGAATAATTTCTTCCTTATATATTCCTGGTAGAAATATAAATTAAATATAGGAAATAATTATTCATATAATGGTTTGCCATATACTGGGTTATTTTAAAGAAAGGGAACCATGATTTCTCCAAAACCCTGTTGCCCATAAATGCAGAGATGTTTGGTTTTCTGCAGGGACATAATGAAAGAGCTTGCTGACCCACATAGAGAACAAATTAGTCAAGTCAGGGACTGTCACATTATGTCCCTCAGGATATCCTCATTAGTGCTGTAATCTCCTCACGTTCCTGGAATGGAGGCAAACTTGTCCGTCCAGGCCAGTCACCAGCCCTTTTCACCTTAAGATACCCTAAGTGCTCAAAAGAAGCCTGTCCTCAGCCCTAGTGCTTGTCAATTCAATGAGAGGGGGAGCCCTGGGCTGGGGGTGGGTCTACCCAGATCTTTTTCCTGTTCTGTCACTAAGCTAGCCCTCACTTCACCACCCTGACTTTCAGATCTGCAAACTGAGAGGGTAGAACAAGATGCTACTTTCCAATGCACCCAGTTCTGTGATTCCCAAAAAAGATTTACCATAGTCAACAAATGTTCTCCAAATAGACCTCAGCTAAACACCATCAGTGGTTTTTATATTTTTGGTTTTTTCCACAGACGTGACATGAAAGCTTTTGGTGTACATGTCTCTTGCATCGAACCAGGATGGTTCAAAACAGAATTAGCAGATCCAGTCAAGACGGCTGAAAAAAAACTTGCCCTTTGGAAGCATCTGTCTCCAGATGTCAAACAACAATATGGAGAAGGTTACATTGAAAAAAGTGAGTTCTGGGGTAGACCCAGGGTCCTCTGGGATTCATTGTCCTAGGCAGCACAAAGGAGACCCAAAATACAAGTGAAAAAATAAGGTTCTCATAATAACAGGGATCTTAAATGTGGTTCAGCTATTCCTATTAATTCCAGTGTTATCTCTTGCTCCTCCAAGCATTTACTCAGCACCAGGTTCTATGCTAAGCACTATATAAATTACACATATATATCATTTACTCCTAAAAAAAACACTATAGGAACAGTGAGCAGAGGGTTGAGAAGGTGAAATGCCCTACCCAAGGCAATGCAACTCTTCCTGGTCATGCTGGACTGGAGCCCTTGGTCTTCCCCTCTAGCCTAAACTCCTCTTTTCTGTAAATGCCAACCAATCACTTAGAGTTCACGGAGGTTACAAAATATAAAGCCTCTGGCCCTTAACTACCTTATAATCTAGTTGACAATGAAAAGTAATCAAGTGAGACTGTAAAACAGTGAGACTGTGCAGCATGAAGAAAGTTAATCTTTACTTCTTAGACATAACCCAATAGCCCAGAAGGGTGCTAGATGGTGTGGTCTCTAATTGCCCAAGGAATGCAGACCAGGAAAAAAAGTTACTGGTTAAGAAGCCTTTCTGGGACAGGCCAGGTGTGAACAAAGCCTAAAGGACAGGAAGGAATTATTTGGGTAAATACTTTGTGGGGCAGGAATGCATGGGGGGTGGAGACGGAAGAAGTAACATAAATCCAGAGATTGAGTCGGGGATGGAGGAGTAATAATAAAGATTAGACTATGATGACTAATATATAGTGAACATTTACTATGTACCTGTCACCACTATAAGAGCTTTACATGAACTTTCATTTAAAATGCTTAAATAAGAAAATAAATACAATGCCCAAATAAACCCTACGAAGTAGATACCACCTTAGCTTTATAGAAACTTGCCCAAAGTTGCACAGCTGGTAAGTGGAAGCTCCAGATTTGAACCCAGGTAGCCTGACTTTGCCATTTATTCTTGGGCATCCCACTAATGTCAACAGGCATTAAAGAGTCAGTCAACTTCCTGTATCAGGACTCCACCTGCACCTCAAACTTCCTGGCCCTGTTCAAGTTGACTTGACATTCCTCAAACATTTACTGAGCTCCTGCTTAGAGCTGAACAGGGCCCCACCTAACTTGTGTCACTCCTTTCCCTCCAAACCCTAACCTTGCCTCTTCATCAGTGGGCTTGGTAAGATAGCCAGTCACCTGTGGCTAAGGTTCAAGGCCAGGAGTTCACAAGGTGGAGCCAAGACCAAGTCAGACCCACCTGGGGAGGTTTTTAGAAGATTGACTCCACCAACCACGCCATCCACTACACACAGAGAAAGACAGAGACAGAGACAAACATGTGCATCAGCTAGAACACCTGGTCTGACACACTTCCCCAGTGCTGATGTGTCACTATAGGTTTACAAACCACTGCCGTTAAATGCTGCCCCTCACCCACCAACTCTAAAGGTTCCAAGTAGATTCAGGAAACAAAAAGCTCATTTAAAAGAACTTCCTCTGTTTGATATTGACATTGATGCTTTCTAAATGTCTATAAATTCATCATCAACTTCCATGTCAAAATAAGTTTTGCATTGGCTGCTGATTCAAATGCCCTGTCTCAGATGTACTGTACCACCTGGCTCTGAGCCCAATTTTACACTGGTTGTTCTTTTTAGAGTTTTCCAAGTCAGGATTTGGAGATTGGCCAGACTCACTGTTCTGAAGCAGACCACAAAGTTAAGCTCATCTTCCTTCGTTTCCCTGGCTAGAGTAATAGGGGTTTAATATAACCACCCAGATTTATTACATAACCTTCTTTAGGCTCTTTGAACAACTTGTGGCTACCGGGGCCTAAAGTTGAAAGGAAAATTTAAAATAATAGATTTCCCTTGAAAAGACACAGCTCAGGTGTGTTTTAAGAGTGCAGCAGTAATGCTGCAAGTCATTTCCAATCCCTCAATAACACTCCTGCCTCTTCAAGAGTATCTTAGCTCATTACTCAAACATTTCATTTACTTGAGAACTAGGATATCTTTAACTTTTTGAGCCAGGGCTTTTTGGTGATGCTTCTCTCTTTCTTCACTGGATTACGGAGATTCAAGCACAGGTGCACCCCCACATTTCCTATCAACATTGTCCTCCTTCAAAACAGATTTGAAATCAAACCCCTAACTCTCCAGGCTCAGGAGCCTAACAGACTTTATGAAGTATCTTTCCCTCATTGCTTTCAAGCAATGCTTCTCAAAGTTTGGTCTCTGGGCTAGTGCCTTCAACATCGCCTGGAAACTTGATAGAAATGCAAATTCTTGGGTCCTGCTTTACACCCACTGCAGGAGGGACCCAGCAATCTGGGCTTTAACTAGCCCACTGGGAAATTTCACTGCCCACTCAAGTTTGAGAACCAGCATTGCCCCATCCTTTTCTAAGAAATAGAAACTCATCACAACAGGCCTCAGTTGTAATGGCAGATTCAAAATTCCCACATGTACATCTTCCCCTTTGTACCCCAACCTTCACATCCTCCCCTTTCCCTTCTGCCAAAGAGTAAGTATACTTTTTTCTGCTTTTACAGGTCTAGACAAACTGAAGGGTACATCCTTTGAGAACACGGACCTCTCACTGGTGGTGGAGTGCATGGACCACGCCCTCACCAGTCTCTTCCCTAAGACCCGTTATACTGCTGGAAAAGATGCCAAGACTTTCTGGATACCTCTGTCTCATATGCCAGCAGTTTTGCAAGACTTTTTGTTGTTGAAACAGAAAGTAGAGCTGGCTAATCCCATGGCGGTATGACTCAGCTGACCACAACTGTCTGCCGTGGGCTATCAGTGTGGCTAATATCAAGGACATATTTCCTTCTTGATCTCATTCCTTACCTGATCCAACCTGGACTCATTTAGATCATGCTTCTTTTGGGGAAGGAATGGATCCCACCCTCCCTGGCAATATCCCAGGGAAGGGCAGGGATGACATGTCACAAAGAAGGGCAGGCGTGGTGCCTACCCCATATTTAGGCTTTGCATGCCTGGCATGATATAAGGGAAATTGAAAGGTTTTCCCTTCCAAAATGACCTTCTCTACAGCTTGTCCCATGCTCCCAACCATTCCTGAATGTTAAATATTTGTCCCTTATTAAAATGTTCAGAGATGAGTAGAATACTTTCATAAGTGGATTAGACATGCTCTGCGACCTTGTTGAGAACCCGACTCTGAAGGACTGAACTTGGTTCTGTAAGCTTGGATGGGGGCGGGAGAAGGAAAGGTAATGAAGCATTATGGGATGGGTGCTATAAGCTGAGGGACAGCAGAAAAACACTAGGGAGGAGGGTAGAAAAAACACTAGAGGACTGAAAAAAGAAAATAGGTATAAAAGTGGAGGTAGGGAAGCTCCAAGACAAGCCTGCCTGTCCTAGAGGAAGCAAGGGGGAACGAAGAGCCCATTCAAGGCTGCTGGGAACTCTGATGCACACAAGGCTATCTGGTAGAAAAGTGGCAATGACAGGGTAGCCAAACATTCCAGAAGAGGAAACACGTAGGGACTATTTACATTTATTCTGGTGATTGTAAATATAACAGGACTAAAAATATCTGATACAACTTACACCTGAGATGGTTGAAAATCCTGTGTTTCAGGTGTCTCTGAAGCCCTATGGAGAGATAGAACTCAATAAAAGGCTCTCATTAGCCTATAGCTACAGTTTTTGCAGCTCTGCTCCTTGTTCGTATTCATGGTTCCAAATTGGATTGACCCTGGACCCGCACACACCATCCAAGGGGTAGTTCTCTAAAAGGATGCTTCCCTACATCCCAGGACCCAGTATCACTCATAACATTCTGTTGAATATTTACATGGGGAAGCCCGAACTGTCAGAATTCAACATTTGTTGTGGAATCATGTAGGGTTAAAGAGCCAGAGAAATTATCTAGTGCCCATGCACCCCCCCACCCACACACCATGCTTATTGTGAAGAAAATATTTAAATCTGCTGCTTAAAACCATGTCCATTTAAATATAGCAGTAATTCTATCTATTCTCATTCACCTTTATGGAAACATCTGTTTATAAAGGAGTTTCCTCCTTTAAAATGTACAACATATTGATAGCTTGAAAAATCAAATTACCAATGCTGTCAGTCCACCTGGACTCACATGTCATGACTTGAGGGAAGGTGCATGCATCCTTTAAATGAAGGAAATGGCCGCAAGAGTCAGGTAGAAGAATTCCCAGGCAAAGGTAGCTCAATCATTGTCACCACCTCTGTGAAGCCATCCCCAGCTTGGCCCCTGGCCCTACCGAGAGTTCATCTGTTTACCTCTGATTTCTTCTGGTTACAATTAACCACCTATGGGTTAGGTGACCCTCCTCAGCTTGTCCTTAGAGATGAAGTTCATCAACCTTGTTTTCTAGGGCTCCTTCTCAACCTAAATTCCCAGAGCTTGGCTTCATTTTACTGCTTTAAAAATGTCTGCCTGCTGCTTCCTGACTTTCCAGCCTTCAGAGCTGTTGTAGAATCTGCAGGAACCTCCTTTGCTGAACTTCAACTGTTCCAGTCCTGTTTAGAGGCCTACCTAATAGTGCTATTTCCTCCGTTTTGCCTAGACCTGCGTTCTTTGCTCATTTCTCCTAGTAGCTGCAATAGGTAACTTCCTGTTTTATCTAACCAAATAAAAGCTGTATTTAAATGAAAGCTTCCAAATATGGTAGCACCTCAAAAATAAAACCAAATATTTTTGTCACCCAGCAACTTTTAAGGCTTCTAAAACTAAATAAAAAGGTGGGGTATTTGGAGTATAAAGGCATAAGTCACAATAAAAGCCCAAGAGCAAGAGCGAGGTGGACAGGACATCAGAAGGTCACTGCACCAGGAGTCTGAGGTACAAGTTCCTAAACTTTGCTCCATCATGACATTGCTTATGTTCTTCTTTGTGCTCTTGGGATAATTATTTTTATCTATGATATTTAGGAACACACACATGCTGGGAACTTTGCCAAGTACTGGCCTATAATATGAGCAGAATGAGTATGGTCCCTACTTTCACAGAGCTTAATATAATCCAAAGACTGAGGCCACTACTCAGGATGCCTAGGGGAGCTTCTGCAGGAATCTGTCAAATTGAGATGTTGTCTTCTCCTGCTTCTAGCTTGGGGGATCCTTCCTCATTTAGTTTGGAAGGACCAAGAGAATCTCCCCGACTTTCCCTCTGATCTCATCTCAAAATCCAACTGTGTCCTAAGTAGCCGTATCCGGACATCCACGATATATTCAGATCTGGAGTTTCTATCTCCCTCACCCCACATGTCCTTTGCCAGCTCAGCACCAGCTACTATTAATTTGATCTCCTAAGGAGGTCTCATGTCCCTCTACTTTTCTTCACCTTCAGTGCAATCATCTGTTCACGCTGCCATCGCCTCCTACCTCAGCTACCACATGTTCATCCCTGTGACCCTTCAGTGATTTCCCCTCATAGTCAGAATGGCTCTAAATTTAAATCAGATCATCCCACTCCTCTCCCCGCCACCACTTTCTCAAGCCCTTCAGTGTGCTCCTGCTGCACTTTGGATAAAGACTAACATGTATAACATAGACTACACCACCCCAGCACTCCTCATCAGCCTCATTCTAGTCTTCAATCCTCCTTGTTTTGCCACCTCATGGTCTTTGCCCATCCTGCTCCCTGGAAGGTTCCCATTTTACCTGCTTGTCTAGTTTCCTCATCCTACAGCTCTCATCCTCTTTTTCCAAAAAGCCCATGCAATTCCAAATTCTGACCATTACCTTTTCATCCCAATTATTGTAGGTTCCCATCTTATACATTCTTACCATGCCCTGTAATTTATATCAGAACACTTATCACATTCTTTAATTATGTATTTGTGTGGTAAGTTAGTTAATATTGGTCTCCCCTACCAGATTTTACATTCTATGAAATCAGGAATCATGATGCTTTGCTTATCTCTGTATTCCTTTGACTACTGCATTGGCAGCACGTAGACCAGTGTTCAATAAATATTTGTTTAATGAACTCAGAAATCAGTGTATATCAACCTTTCTGATCAAGGGGCAACCTATCACTTAAGATCAGGCTTGCAGCATCAATGTGTCAGTTCATTTCAAATCCTGTGATTTCCTTAAGCATTTGGGTGCTTCTACAGGGGCTTTACACCTCTGGTTCCACTGTCAGCCTCCCTCAGAGACTAGTCAGTGTTGCCATAGTGATTTTTGGTGACCTCGTAGTCCAGAAACACAGTGAAGGAGCCTCCCTCCACGTGGAGTCATCTTGGGCCCAATGGTCACAGAACAAGACCATTGGGGATCATTTCTCCATTTCTCTGCCTGTAGACAGGACATGTCTAAGCCATCCAGGCTGAAGAAAACCTCTTCAATTTAAAATCATTCCAGAAACTCTGTAACTTCTGTGGGCAACCAAGTCCATATTTAATGAGGAAAACTTCCAGGAGCTTCTAAGAAAAATGATCAATTTAGGCTCTTCCCCATACTATGAATCCCAATAATTCTCAAGGACATGAAAGATTATGGTTCCATCAGTGCAGGAAATGGCTAAACATTCTCAAAATCAAAAGCTTTTTAATATCTAGAAATTATCTGTGACAATATAACCTCAGCTGCAGCTTACCACGACAATGCTGGTCAACATCGTGAATTTTCACATGTTGAAAATAAGATAATTCTGTTGATATTCATAATGTTGGCATTATTGCTCAAGTCCATGATTCTTTTTTTGAAAATATGAGTAATTTCCTTTTTAGTATATGAAGCACTAAAATAGCCAGGGCAGTAATACAGATTCTACCTGAATGGAGCTTCCATGTCCTTTTAGCACCCAGTACCCTCCCAAGAAAGAACTAGATCATGGCTCTTGCTGGTGAGTCTATGGAAACACACAGCACCCCAGCCTGCAATAGGTCGGGCAAGGCGACATCGCATTCTGTCACAGCCTGCAACCATCAGGCGCCCCAAACAGTTCCATTTCAGTGCCTTTTGAGAAACTGAGATGGAAGGGATCCTACTATAGATATACACCATAAACCCTGGATAAAAACCACTCAGTGCCCTGACTAAGTGACATATTTACTCTCTGCCCTCTGGGTCTGTTTTTTCCTTCTAGATATGACAACTAGAATTGAAAGGATGTCACATAAGGAATGGTGGTGCTCAGGTTATGGAACAGTTAATCCAGGCAACCTGGCTTCCCACAGGTATAATAAGAAAAAATAATAATGGTTATTTAATACTTAGTACACATCATATTCATTTGTACATTCCATAAGTGGTTTCACCACCCTAACCAGGTATCAGGCATTTTAGTTTTGTTTTGTTTTTTGGTTTGTGGTGTGAACACTTACCATGAGATCCACCCTCTTGAGTTAAGTGTGCATTACAGTATTGTCAGTTAGAGGCACGATGTTGTACAGCAGGTCTCTAAAACTTAATCATCTTGCATGAGTGAAATGTTATACCCCATCCTTGGTAACCTCCACTCCACTCTCTGCTTGTATGGGTTTGACTGTTTGACATATTTTATATAAGTGGTATCATTCACTGTTTGTCCTTCTGTGACTGGCTTATTTTATGCAGCATAATGTCCTCCAGGTCCATCCATATTGTTGCATATGAAAGATCTCCTGCTTTTTTAAAAGTTAAATAATATTCCATTGCATGTGTACACCACACTTTCTTGATGCATTCATCAGTTGATGGACATTTGAATTGCTTCCATATCTATTACGTATAATGCTACAGTGAACATGGGAGTGCAAATACCCCTTGGAGATCCTGGTGTCAATTCTTCTGTATATGTACCCAGAAGTGGAGTTGCTAGATCACATGGCACTTCTATTTTTAATTTTCTGAGGAGCCTCCATGATGTTTTTCAAAGCGTCTTCACCATTTTACATTCCCACTAACAGTTCATGGGGTTTCTGTTTCTTCATAACAGAAACATTCACCAACATTCATCTTTTGTTGTCTTGACAATAGCAATTCTAACAGGGGTAGGGTGATAACTCACTGTGATTTTGATTTGCATGGTTTTATGATTAATAATTAGTGCTGTGAAGGATCTTTTCATATATCCATTGGCCATTTGTACGTCTTCTTTGAAGAAATGTCTACTCAAGTCCTTTGCCCATTTTTAAA